TACCAAAGTGAGGATAATATGCAGTGCTTGGTGCGGGCAGGGATAGAGCAGAGTAATTCTCTTACATTTTGCAGCAGTAGCTCTTTTCCGTTGTTCTATAGCACCTTCTTCAAACATTTGTTCACAATAGCAAAAATATGTATGTTCTTGTTGAGTATAAAGAGATGTATTAATATGTTTGATTTTGGAATTTCTTCCCTTTAAATACCTCTAATGATACAAAGCAATGGTATTATGGGATAACCATAGCAGGGGAGAGGCATAAAGCACTCACTATGGACTTGGGACTTCAGATCTTCAATGTTATGTGCTATTTATTATCAGAAAATATTCCCAGTCTGTTTTGACTGAGAATAGTCAGAGACAGGAGTGAAGCAGTTGCACCTGAATGATGGTTCACTATCTAAACCCACCGCAGATACTTGGAAAGTTTAGCAGACATCATTTCAATGGACTGTCTTAGAGGTATCACCATATTCCATGCCCTCTCTGAGAGAATTAGAAGAAAGTAATGTCTCTCTTTTTCCATCCTTGTCTTCCCAATGGAAAGACCTCTTTAGCTGGAAATCTTGTGAGTGTATTCATTAATTTGAAAAAGCAAACAAACAAACAAAGAAACAAATGGTCCCCCCTGCAAAACAGGGATTCTTTGAACATGCTGTGGAGAGTCTAGGAATGGTTGCTTTGTTGCTGTAGATTCTGCACGAACAGCTATGTGTGTACAGGCCTGCTGCTGCTTTTTTCTTCTTCCAACCCTGCTGTTTATTTTACGCATCTCTATGTTGGTTTGTTTCCTTCTGACCTTGATGCATACTCTGAAACTTTTTTGCAAAACTTTTACTGCTGTACCTATTTGAGTGAGGGAGCAGGGTGGGTTATACCATGTGCCTGGCAAAGGACAGAGTCAGTAACCGTGACAGTGAACATGGCGCTCTGATTCCTGGGTGACTGAACTGGATAGAGGAGTTAAAGAGGAGAAATGTATTTGGAAGATGCTGTTGGTGAGCACTGTTTCTGTTTCATCATTATGAGTGGAGATGGAAGTGCTTGTACAGGCTGGTCAGTACCATTTTTATCATTGTATTCTTTAGATCATCGGTGTGTGAACAAGTTAAATTGGCCAGGTGATAATAACGTCCTTGCCTGGCTGTAATGATGTTCTTTGAATTTCCTTTAAAATGTTAGTTTAGATACAGACTTGATAGCACTATCCTACTGCAAAATAAATGTCTTCTAATCTGTTTCATTCCTCCCATCACCTTATCTGAATGCACATAAAAAAGAAAAACTGGAAAGCTGGTGAATATCACTATATCACTTCCTTTACCTGTCAGCATACTGGGCAAACTTGGCTTATTTGAGACAAAAGAAAATGTATTTGAAATACAGGAAGGAAACAAAATGTTATTAGTTTTTGTACAGTATCCTGGGCTGTATGAGCAGGAGCAGAGCTGATAGATTGAGGGAAGTGATTATTTCCCTCCACTCAGCACTCATTAGCCCACCTCTAGAAAAATGCATCCTATTTTGGGCCCCCCAATAGCGAGGTTCCGAGTGGACATAAGAAAAACTTTTCCTCCCATGAGGACAGTCAGACATGGAGCAGGCTGCTCAGAAATGTTGGTTGCAGTCTCTGTCCTTGGAGATTATCAAGACTTGACTGGATGAAGCCCTGAGCAACCTGATCTGACCTCATAACTGACCCAGCTTTGAGTAGGAGCTTGAACTAAGTGACCTTCTGATGTTCCTTCCTATGATCCTATAATTTCCTGAGACTTAGCATGCAATGAACAGGGATAGATAAGGAGGGTTGGGAACACCTAGAACAAATAAATGCAGGTGGTTCACAGAGGTTATAGAAGATTTGGAGAATGTCAAGTGAGAACATGAAAGTGGATCGCTGATTTTTGTTAAGTTGGAAATGGTTCAGTCCTGACTTAGTATTATAAGGCCATGTTCCTCTGGAAATTGTCTCCAGCTTACAAGATGCTCTCTAGCTTCCCTTTAGCACCAGCTATCCCTATCTTCCTGTTACACCTGTAAGGTAAATGGTTTTGTTGTGCCCAGTGTGACAGTTCTCACTTTTGATTTAACTTCCCTTGCATCTGTCTTGCAGTGTCCCAAGATGTTGCTGAGGTTCAGGTATCACATGGCACAACCTTATCATTTTTATTTTATAAGTGTCTCTCTAAGACTCCAATGTTATGGAGAAATCGCTTCTGTTTAATGACCTTCTGCATTAGCAGTTCTTTGTGTTAGTGACTGAAATAGATTTTTGCTTGTCTTGTGATGTGAAGGAGCCTGGGCCCAGTCTCTGCACCAGTGCTCGAGCGTGTGCTTTAGCCCTAGCAAAGAGCAGGAAGCTAACAGATTTCTGAGCACCAGAAATACTCGTGCTACAGCTCTTGGATAGCAGGACTATTGATAAAGACTCAGCTGGGTTTCAGTCAGCGATGCACAGTTGGAAACTGCACCTTTGTGCTTTAGGACTGTAAATGTTTGGTCAGTATTTTTCTTTGGTAAAATGACATTATGAAGACCTTTATTATTGGCATTAAGTATTTCATAAAATGGACTTCCTTCCTGAAAAGAAGAGAGGGATTATAGCTAATTACAACACAGTTCAGTAGTGTTGCCATGTTACTTAGAGTTAGAAAAGTGGTGTAGAGAAAAAGAATAAGAGAAAGATGGATGATAAAGGTGCCAGGAAAATAAGATTGTAAGGAGCACAAGGGTTCAGAAAGACCTGAAGAAGAGAGTAAAAGGAAGGATAAATAATGTCACATAGGAGGGAGCCAGGACAGACAGAGATGGAAAGAATGTGAAAGGGAAGGCAAAGAATCAGACAAAAATGAGAGAAGAAATGTAACTGGTGAATATTTCAAGAAAAAGCATAAAAATTGAAGGAAGAATTTGCAGAAGAATAACTTTTAAGTTTGTGAATGCTCCTAAGTTTTACAGTACATCTAGCAAATATTCTTTATCCCTGATTTTGGAAAAAAGAAACTTGCTTTTTTGGAAACTTAGTTTAAATTTAAATTGGTGGATGGCAGTAGATGTGGTCACTACAGTGCAAAAAATGTTTGATCATTGAATCAATGAAATTTGAATCAAGCTCCATTATTCTGGTCCCACTGGCTTTCAGACCTGATATTTTTGGGACTCTTTTCCGTTTGAAAGAGCCAGTAAATACAGTCAACAATGGGTGGCTCCTTTTGTGAGCTACTGGAGGACGAAAAGTGTAGTCTCTATCTTCTAAAATAATGCTAAGTTTTAGGAGGTCCTGAGGAGAGAGAGATCAGAGAGATCTCACCCCTCCAATCCTCCCTAACAGTGATGAGATCGCAGGGGGGAGACTTTGTTATGAGTGGAAGGGTAGAGACAAGAACATATTTCAGATCATCCCAAACTGCAAGAGCACCTCTGATGTTACCATATCACATTTCTCTTTATAATATTAATTATAAAAGGGAAAGTGCCTGATGTCCTGCAAATGGTTCTTGGAAACTGTAGCTAGCAGGAGCTGCAAATGTGTGCTGTTGGGTCTTGTTCAGATTGCAGTTAGCCTAGAGGGACTTTAGTACAAGAATATAGTCCATAGAGACTGTGTTTTCTTATGGGCACATCAGTAGCCTTCCCTTTATTGTCTGGGGACAAGAATGAACTACCATGGACTCTGCTTGTTTACACTGTGGCCTGGGCTCTGTTTGACCTTGAAGAGAAAAGGGATTCCCAAACCTGTTTTGTTTGGATCTGCCTAAAAAGGGTGCAGAGGGAAGCTATAACATCTTAAGAAGGCTGCAAAAAACCTCTGGTGTTGTTTTGAATCAGAAGCAAGTCTGAACATTTGCCACCTTCTGATCCAAGCTGGAAATCTGAACTAGAGAGTGTGGAAAGGCTCCAAATGCCTCTCATCACTGGGCTCATAAATGTGCTCTTGTGCAACTGGCGGTTGCCTGGCTAAGTTACTGACTCTTGCATACCTCACTGATTTTATTTCCTACAATATCCTGTCTACCTACTTCTCCAAAAAACAGTGATCTCCCCTTTATTACTCTGCTTTGCTCTGCAAGATTTTTTCAGTTCTGTTCTTCATGCTTGGAAAAAGTTGCCTGCCTGAAAGCACAAGCTATAAAGGCTCTTGTCTTTCTCATTTTTTTTTCTCTTTTTGAGGGGCATATCAGTGAATGGAACATATTTTAATAGTGATAGTTAATTACGATCACCAGCCTGTTATTCTAATAATAATTAAGATATAGTAATTAAAAGAAATTCATATATTATTATCATTTTCTATACTCCTGATGTACTAAGATGTGTGTTTCTCCAACAGACATCAAGGTTTAGCCAGGGCTAAATATGTAGGCAATGTATCACTGATGATATTTAAAAACAACAACAATAATAATGACGGCCTATGGACATTTCAAAACCAGATACACTGTTTTGCAGGCTTTGAAACTGAATATATGAAGAAGAATTCAAAAGATGAATATTGCTGTGAGAAGAGGCATAGAAATAGGAGTTACCTGGAAGGCTGGATTTGTGATGGCTATCATCCCTGGGATGAGCTTTATTCAAGAACCATCAACATACCATAGTCTACTTCTGTGATCCCTGCCAAGGGAATTATGAAGTGGTGTTAGGAAAATGCAATAAATGTTCATTCTCATACTGATAAATGCATGAGAGGAGATGATTTACAAGCAGGAATAGCAAAGGAGAAAAGTATGGGATGTGTTCTTCATCTTAAAATTAGTAAATCACAGGAGAACAATTAAGCACTACTACTATACTAATGCATGTAGAACAATTAAGTTTCTATATTGTGTTCTCTCAACATGGACATTACGTTAATGTTTGTAAGGGAGCACTAAGGCTCACTGCTTTTCAGAAGCTTTATTTTGGCCTTGAATGAATAATGATTCTTTAAATTGTGGAAATCCAAATACTTATTTCATGTTTTAGTCACTTTATATTTTCTCCTTCCACTTATCCAGGGAAGAATGTATCAGGCACAGAGAAGAAGCAACACCACTCTGAAGGAATGATGAAGGGTGCTTTTGCCCTGATGGTTGCCACAGCTGCTTCATTATGGGAAAAGCTGAAAACCTGCACCAGCTTATCAGCGGCAATGACTTAGCCACATCTTGTCATGGAAGCTGGTGACATGAGCCAAGCCAGTGTATGGTTTGAGTTTCTTTCTGTTTTGTTTCCTTAGAATCTCAGTACTTGCATTTTAAAGGAATTATCAAGTTTAACACAAATCTCATTCTTTGTTTATGTGGGTATGTAATGGCTATACCTTTATATGGCTTCGAGCATTCCTGAAAGAGGTGCTGGCTTTGATCTGAGCTCAGATGTTCAGTGTTTCTGAGGATGTGGTACTTGAGGGTACAAGCTATCCCAAGGAAATAGGGTAGAACTGCATTTTACAAGGGGAAGTAGGAGCTGAGGATGCACTTAGTGTGCACTGAGAGGCACTTGAAACATCAAAGGACTGTGTCCTAATACTCTAGATTGATTATTTCATTCACATGAATAGTTCACACTGAATTTAACTTTCAGATAAGGTATTCCCATGCATATGTGCTTTTTCTGAAAGAGGTGCTTTTGTACACACAGGCTGGTAACAAATCATGTGATGCACACATATATGCAACCACAATGTGCAGCATAGATTTATGAACCCACAACCCCTGCTATTCATACCTGAGTACCTATTTGTGAATGCAGGGAGATGTGAAGAGAGGCACAAAACTTATGCATAAGAGGTCATATGGATATGCACAGTCCTTCTTTAACTAAAAGCTTGCACACAGCCCTATTGAAGTCAGTGGCATTGCTCCTGCTGTTTGGAATGGGAGCAACTACTTTCCCAAACTATCCCTTACAGTGTAATGCACTTCCAGTTTTGATAACTATTTTGAAACTTGCATTTACTCTTTTTTTAATTTGTTTATTTAAATGAACTAATTGCTAGAACGTGCTGCTCTTTACAGTGCTTAGTCTGCCAGTAATTCCAAATATCCTTTGAAAGGAGGCAGAAGAATAATAAATTGTGGAATCCCAAGTCAGATTTATGTAAAGTGCATTTCTAGATTATGATTAGTAACAAGATGACATGTTGGCATGGTAACACTTGAAGCTTATCTGCAAGTTCCTAAAATAAAGCGATGACATATATGTAGGTTTCTCTGCATTTGCGTACTATCCACCTGAAAACATATCATTTCTACAACACACATGCAATTAAACCCTACTTCTTACCTTCAAGTAAAGTGATCAATGAATATATCATGCCTCTTTCCTAGTATTTATGCATAATCTCCCACCATGAATTATAAATGCTGGTAATGAACTTGTCCATTTTGTAACATCTTGGGCGTTCTGCCATTTGGTTCCGAAATGATTAACGTAAGGAATATAAAACGTGCTTCATTCTCTTTGTGTTTCGTACAGCATTGATCTCCCCTAAATTTAGCCATCTCCTAGTATGGAAATGGTTTTACCAATACTGGAAAATTCTGTTTATTAATTAAATTGATAGACCGGTGGATACATTTCATGTGGTTGAGGATGGGGAATTAAAATCCCAGCTTCACCTCAAATCACAGTAATAAAGCAGTAAAGCTTTTAATGTCAGATTGTTGTTAGCTGAGACAGAGAGCCTAGCTATTATTTTCTAGTTGCCTTATGGTGAGGAGAAAAGTCTTCCCTAGTTGTTATACAGTCTGTTCAGTTTTCTTTCATTAAGCAGAGTTAACTTGTTTAGATATGTTATCTATGGTAAACATGCTGATTTTCAGGGGCTGTTTTACTTGTATCACTGTTTCATGTTAAGCTGTTTTTCAGAATGCAAAATTGGGCACTTTGTTTCAATTGCTTTATATGCACAGTATTGCTTTGACCAAATTTATTGCAGTTAACATTAAGATGCTGCTATAAATTCTGCTTATGTAAATACAACCTTCTTCTGTCACCCTGGGTGTACAAAACAGGCAGTGTTATATGTGAAATTATTTTTTTCTCAGTTCACTTATTTCCATATACTCTACTGTATAAAGCATGGCAGGATATTGAAAATATGGCTTACGGTGATTCCACAGCTCCCTATGCAACCTGGAAAGCCCAAATTCTCTTGTTCACACCACTGTGGATGGCAAATGCTGGAAGTACAGAGATTGACTCACTGCATGATAATCACGTTACATTCAGAGTAATACAGTTGGCCGGGAAATATTGCACATACGTGGTAGAGTTCCCAAGATAAACCTCCTGCTAAGGCACGGTTGATGTTTGTCCTTGTGGCCTTTCAAAACGTGGAAACTCTGATCTCTATTTCATAAGTCTACCTGTATTTGTAACTTGTAGATGAAGGATTTTAGTATTTGAATTTAGCATGGTTGTGTGGTGGAGGGAGGAGGCACATGTGCATGCTGGGTTTTGCTGCTAATCCTTTGGAAATCCTTTAGTGCCTTAAGGAGGCAGAGGAGGAACAGACCTTAGGATTACAGAAACTTGTTCAAACCTCTTTCCTGCTTCAGCAGAATTCCTTTAAAATACATTGTGCCTTTGGCTCCAAACATATTTGCATTAGAAATCAGTAGCCGTGGGATTATGGACAGGAATTTCTGTCCCTGCACTAATCTTAGGAAAGAGAGTATAATGTTTCTTATATAGAACATGACTTAAAAATGTAGATAACTGAGGTTCTACCACTGGAATCCATGCATAAATCATTATTTGAGAACTAGGAATGTTGCAAGTTCGAGGTAAAATAAAAAAAAAAAAAGATGAAATTTAAATGTTCTAGATGAAATACTTGTACCTCTGAAATGACTGGCAAATTTCCACTAGCTTCCCTGGGACTAAGATTTCATGCTTTCTCCTAATTGGCTTACAAAATGTTCACATGATACCTAAGCATCATGCTCTCTTTAACATTTTCTATGCACATAAGAGAGGGGAAAACAGAGATTAGCAGTTGTGGAAGCCTGCCTTGATTTAGAGTCACTGGGATCTGTGGTATAAATCTCCATTCACTAATGCTTCTCTATATAACATAGACTCTTGCTAGGGGAATATGAATATGCAAATGTAAATTCCAGTGTGAGAGGTTACTGCGCAATGTGCACTAGCGGATTCTGAGCAACCGCATTTCTCTGCCCTCTAAATTGTGGTTTTATCTTTCTTTAAAAAAAGAAGGAAAATGTAGTAACAGGTGAAAACCAATCCTGTGCAAAAAGCATGTGTGAGGCAATTCATGCACTCATTTAGGATCCTACACAGATCTTAGGTAAGGCTGAATAGGCCCTTGGCTCGTGGGTAAATTTTATCTTTTAGTAATTAAGAGCAATTTATTGGTATAGAGCTGAAAAAAAAGAAAAAAAAGGTGAGGATTTGAAAGTGGATGTAGTGGTGGTCTTCCGCTTTGCTGTCTGTGATAAGAAACTAGTTTTAAAGAACATGTAAATAATTAAAAGAAAATCATTCCATGGCTCACAATATGCAAGACAAGACTCAGCATGGAACAGATTTTTGTAACTTGTTTATAAATTAAGCTTCTCTCTTTTGTTTGGAACTTTGAAAAAGTAATCATGTAAATAAGACTTACTACACACATTTGTTTGACTGGAAAAAAGATATTTCCTCACCTCCTTTGGTATTAATGAAAAATCTGGGATGTATAATATGTGCAGGTCTTGGCTTTTGAGCTCTAGTGCTGCGCAGCTATTTAGTTCTTTCGAACAGCCAACAGTGTGATGCTAGCCAGAAGTCACGAAGAGCAGTTGTTAGGGTCATAAAGTGGGATCCATCTGAAGAAGTGCCAAAGAGCGCACAAAATGCTTGGGGTTTATGGTTTGATACTTATTAATTAGATGAACCAGCTGGGTTTTGTTTTGTTTTGTTTTGTTTTTGTAAATAAGTGCAAAAAGTTTCAACTCTTACCCATGACTGCCCTGCAACTGGGTGTCAAGGTAGAGAAGATAACTGATAATGTTTCAGTAATATGAAAGATGCCACTCTTGAGCTAGTCCATTAAAACCTTATGGTTAACTTTTCAGCAACGACTTTCACTTTAAGATACTTGTCACAGATATCAAATGTACATATGTATTAATTTTCAGTGTAACTAGGGAGCATACAGAACTGTAATGCAGTCACAAAGTCTACTTGATGATTATCACAGATTTGTAACTCTCACTTAAATTATGTAAGATAAGTTGACATTCTATCTTGTTAACAAGATGTATTTTTCTATGTTAGTTAAATGTATAATTTGTATAATTTTGTATATTAAATGTATGCATATTTTAAATTAAAAACTTTATAATTTTAATTATTTTTAACTCTAAAATAGTGGTGGAGATTGTGAAATATAGTTGTAAATGCAACTCATATTAAGTGGGGAATCGTGAAAGGTGGCACGTTTGTACATTTGGGAACAAATGCAGAGCATCAGGTGCATTTTTCTTTGTGTGTTGTGATGTAAAGTGAAACACAGGGCTGAAGTATCACAGGAAATGTCACAGAATTTTGCAAAACATGAGCTGGTTTTACATGACTGGATCTAATTTTAGTTCAAAATACATTGGTATAATGTCAAGGGGCAAGATTCAGGTTAGTTATTGTGGATCATTAATTTGAGAGTTATGCTCTTTGAAACCTAGAAATCTGGTACTAGCAAGACTGTATGGGACACCAACCTTAGATACCTACATTTCCTTACGTGGTCAAGTCAAGAGAAACTGTATGCCTGGACACCGACCCAGAAAGTCTCTGTTCTGAGGAAGGGGCCACCAAGCGCTAGCTAATTGGTCTGCTACTAGTGAGGGTAAGGCAATGGTTGTGTCTGAGCTCTTGCTTCTCTTGGTGGGGGTGCTGTCATTGAGCTTTTGCTGAATTATCATAATTAATACAAATTATCAGAAAAGCTTGGGGAGATCACTTGTTCAAGAAGTGGGAAACCTGAGTCTTCCTCAGCCAATGGGGTTTTGGACCCACGGTTCCTACATGTCAGGACACAGCCCAAACCACCAAACTATAAGATGGGATTTTGGGGGGGGGGGGGAGGAGGAGGAGGACACAGCAGCCAGGAATACAATAGTCCTTTAGAGCAGAGAGAGGGAGTCTGACCCTGTGAGTTTGCAACTCAGGTTGCTCATCTGGGAGAAAGAAAACTTGGATCCAAGTCGCTGTCTTATTCTGACTCCCTCTGGACTTTCACACTTTGTGTCTGATGATTCTGTTGTAAAATGTGCGATACAACTTAGCAAAAATAGGTGCAAAATTGCATGTACTAGGAGCACTGTGGCAGGATTTGCCCCTGCACCGGGGAAGTTTTGTTCTAGCTCATGGCATTTGCACTGCTGCAAGGAGAGTGCTGGATATAACCAGCAAGCTGGTAAATGATGATTTTTTCGAAAGACTTTTGTTGAAAGTTTTTGTGGAATGAAGCAAGCATGTCTCCAGGTTTTCCACTGTCTCTCATCTAGCCTGCTCTGAATATGATTTATTTATCATTGATCCCATATAGGTGTAAAGACTAAAGATTCTATAGGAAGAGGGGACACTTTTGACCAAGTTCTATTCCTTTTTCACCAAGTTCTGCCAAGACAGGATGAGAAGCAGGGTCTGCAGCAGACTATACCGAGACAGTATATTTCTCCAGAGTCCCACATGCATTTTTTAGATAAACTTGCAGGGTTGCAGGAAGACAGTGTATGAGGCTGTAGCTATGTCTGCCTCTGTGGCAGCTAAAGCTACAATTTCATCTCTTAGTGAGCAGAACAGTATGCATCTGTCCAGTTAGAACACAGTTCTTAATAAACTAAGGGTTATAATATGAAGAATTTCCGTTTAAGAGGAAAGGAAGATTCTCATAGAATTTTATGCTGTTATTTCTCACTTGAAAGTTTAATGCTGTTTTCTAAAGCAATGATTAGACGTGTTCTGAGTCTTGTGGTCTCTTTATGTATTATCACTAAGAAGAATACGCTAGCTAATGCTGAATTTTTTTTTCTTTGTTACTTCAAAAAAGTGAGCAGTTCTAGAAAACTGAGCAGTGCTATATAATCAGATCCAGAGTGTAAATAGAGTCCATCTTTCTTGGCTTTATAGATGTTAAAGAAAAGATGCTATTCAGCTCTGAATTCTTTATCAGACACACGCACCATGTAGTATGGCACCTATTATGGGATCATCAGAAATATTTTTTTCTGGAGGTTCTAATTCATCGCTTGATTAGAGAGAGAAACCCAGTAAAATGAATAATTTCCCCAATACTTAAGAAGACATAAATGAAATTACATGTACTATAAATGAAATTACATGTACTGCCTGCATATCTCACTATCAGGGTTTGTTATCCTGTGGAGGAACAAACTGATCTTTTTTTTTCCAATATGATCAATAAATCTCAGTGTTATCATTAAGGAAAAGGAAACAATATTTGCCTATATACAAGAAGTATTTAGGAAAGTGATGTCCTAGGAACTATACTTATTTTTTCACATACCAATACAATTTTCATATGATTATAACATGTTAACACATTCTGTGTTAGCATTGTTACCATATGTTAATACAGTAGCAAGGTTTATTAAATAAGCTGTGAAAATGTATATATGTTCAGAAATGTCAGTCATGATGCTGAGACTATTAAAATCTGAGTATTAATAATCAATGATCAGTGAACTTCTGACTAATTCTCTAACTCCCCTCGTGTAAATGACATACCAGTGTTCAAGGACATCAAGACAGGAAATACCACTGCATTACAAAAAGCTCAGGAGAGAAAGATATTGTCCTCTGATGTGTTACAGCAAAGTTCAGGGATGTTATATCACTGCTTATTGCATGGTTTTACTGCATGGGTAATTGTAAATGAGAAAGATGCTTATCTGGACATCCTTCCCATGAAATCCTGACAACCTGTTTCTTTAACCTCCCGCTTCTCCTAATCCATTTATAACTTGCCATTTTTCTCATGCTAGGACCACCAGGCACACCTGTGGGCTGCAGATAATAGTGCTGTGTGGCTGGGCTTGTGTTCAAACGACATGAGAGTGTTACACATGAGCAGTAAACAGTTCTTGTGATTGATCCAAGGCTTCAGATACGCTTAGCCACTTAATCAATTGCAGAACAGTTTGTTTCAATGTATTATTTCAGAGCAACAGAGAATGTTCCCTATGTAACTGCTGGTGT